AGGACGTGTCAAGGCTGATCTTGTTGGACAGGAAGATGATCACTCAGTGTTTCACCACTTGGCAACCGGCGATGGTGTCCTCAGAAAGACTTGCAGACTTAAAGAAAGATGAGCCTTGCTGTAGCAGCCATGCTCGATGCCGATCCAAGACTAGCACAACCCCAACCTGCTGCGATGGTCTTCCTGTGGTGGCGGGCAGGAAGCTGCAGGAGGGAAGGCCGCGTATGATGGCAGTGGCACTGCTGCTTGTTCACGTTTGATCAACGCACTGCCTTACAATGGCCACGGAGTGCGACTTGCTTCACCTTCACCACTGGCCTGCATCATTTTGCTCCAAGTGATTTTCCCTCGAATGAAAGAGACTTTGTTTGGCCCCATCCGACTTTTGGCGATATGCAAATGAACGACCAATGTGATTTGGAAACCTAGACTCAGCCATCCTCCCCCATTTCCACCCGTTTCTTGAGCCAGCTTCTTTTTGTGTCTCCCCATTTTGGCTATGTAATAACTTCTATATACTGTAAGTGTTACTTACTTAGGGACCCCTAAAGATGTTTGCTACCAACGGCACCCACTCTCTCTCTCTCTCTCTCTTCGTGTTCCCTGGTGCACAGGCGAATCCCAAGAAGATCTCCGCCAAACAGGGCTCCCCTTATGACCGTTACGAGCACTACAAGGCCGACACGGAAGTGGCCTGGCGGTCGGCGTGGCGGTCGGGTCGGTGCCCCCCAAGGCTCCACCAGTCCATGTGATGAATTTCAGTCCATGGCCTCTTTTGAATGTGATGTTTTCGTTGTCCTTTTGGCTGAATCATGGAGCACTTGGCGTGTATCTTTGATCAGAGGGATGTTGATCAAGAAACCTAAACCAAAGGCTGGGCAAATCAGTTTCATGTGACGAGGGGTGTGATTTCACCACTCAATTTTCTCATAGTCACTGGTCTGTTAGGAAGGATCCGGGTGGGTTAAAGAGTGAGATATTGGCAATTATCAGCTTCTGGTTCCAGGTTCTTTTGTATGAGTACCATCTACGTTAAAAACACTTCTGGGTTCACGAGGAACGTTTCAATGTGGTGAATTTGTTCGTGCTGTGTTTGTTCGAGATCATTATGAAGGTAGTTTGCCGAAGTGGTGCGGTTTCTACAACGGAGATGGTGCCAGCCTTAACCTGGAGAGGCATGCTTTGCGGCCTTGGGAACCGGGGAAAGATTGGCTCTTCATGGCTCTTCCAGATCGCGAAACTACTTCAGACTCTCCATCAGAGGTTGGAACATTGTGGCTGGAGATGCTTTCCATGTCACATCCATCTGGCCTGAGCCGCATGCTGGAGGTTGATTTACCAGGATTCCCCTTTCTTTGTCTACCCTACACCTCCGAGTAGATAGTAGATGGCCAGACCTTTTTGAACCAAGGCAATGGACATGACACTTAATCAATTCAGGACTGTAATGAGTATAAATATACTTGTTTCATCTTTATTCGGTAGATGTTGTAGGCGCTGGCACTCGCACAAGTTTGCACATCCTGTGTCTTTTCCCGTTGCTGCACCATTTACTCAAGCTTTTACGCTGCAAGGTTTCTCAATGAATGATGAGGGAATCGTTGGGTAATGTTGCGTAACGATCATTTTACTCCCGTCAGCTGCCACGTGTGAGTTCAGCACTTGCACAACACCTCCAGAAGCTACTGCTCCAAATGCATAATGCAAGGCACTTGGGTTTCGGGGACCTTTTCCACTCCTCTCATTGCCGCAAAAAAAGACTTGCGCCATGTTCCACTCCTCACTGGCAGTGATCCTCCTCCTTACTTTGGCAGAGATCACGGCCCTTTGGCAGAAACCTCGCAGTGATCGTGGGTCACCGGACGCGGGTCACGAATCTCAGGGCAGTTCAATTCAGTGACACGAAGTCAGATGTTGCTATATGTTGTATTTCATACATTGCATAGTACAGTGATTTCACAGGTGAGGAGTATTGTTGTGTTGTGATGTATGCATACTGAACATCAAGCAAGACTCTGGCTGTTGCATGAACATGCAGGGCCACAGAATGGAACGCGAAGATTTTTCGACGACGTGTTGGAGCAGAACACTTTTCCATGCGTGTCCAAGACGTTTTGCATGGCTGATAGCTCCCCGAAAGATTCAGCTCCCTGATGTTTAAATTAAAGGCAGATAAAGGCACCCTTCCGTCGAAGGTAGAGTCAGGACAGTTTCCTTGTTCGCCCGTCCGGCATGTCCAACTCCAAAGGGCTGATTCCTCAAAAAGCTCGGATGTAGGACCGTACATGCTTACCAAGAAATACCAAGAACATTCATCCATGCAGTGATATATTTAAATTCAGGAGGTTTCCCCTTGGTACATTCCCTTCGCCACAAATAGCGTAGCAAACCACAGGAGGGTTTTGAGGACTGTTGTCAACGACTACATGGTTCGATTGGTAATATTTGTATGTTCCCGGCCTTTTGTTCGCGACCTTGTCGCAGCAGGTGTTTACATCGTGCCATTTTCCTTGTTCGTCTCCTCGAAAGCGACAGGAGGTGGCCGCAGGCGGAAAGTCCACAGAGAACTGCCTTTTGCCACTTGGATCAAATGTGTGACGCAGAAATTGGAAGATTTGGATGTGGCTCAAAAAGTTAAGACCCCGGGACCCGCCAGTTCTTTAATATAAATTGAATCAAATAAAGCAAATATATATATATATAGTATTTGTCCTTTTTACCTGTCAGCCAGGGCCATGGTGGATGTCAGTCATGTTTATGGCGAGGCTTTGATGAAGCACGCAACTAGCAAGTTGGTTGCCATGGTGGCAGGCTTCTGAGGGAATAGGGAATAGGGGTCATGTCATTTGAACCTTGGTCTTCTGAAGCTTTAGAACCTGACAAGAAGCATTGTTTTCACTTTGCCGCCAGCAAACCCTTATTGCGGGCCTGAAATCTATTGTGTCAGAATAGGAATCATGCTAATTAAATGCCTTGGCACAATTCTTTCTGGTGAAAACAAACTGCAATGGCTGCCTAGTGGTTTCCACCGCCTGTTCCGACTGGATCCGTTTGAGAAGATGAAGACGTTGCAGTTTGCGCTTCCCTTCCGCTCAGATTTGCTTGGTGCCAAGGCAGAAGACCAAGGCCGTGAGTGGCGAGAACTATGAGAAGAAGACCTCGGCCAATGGCCTGATGAGGCCATTTGTTTTCAGAAAGCCCCACCTGAGAGTTCAGATCTCGCATCTCTCACAATTATGACCTTTTCCTCATGAAAAAGGAAGTGGCAAATAATTCTTACAGCATGTGAGATGGGGTCCAAAGGTGGAGGAAAAGGAAATCCTTCTTGCTGGAGGATTGGCTGATCCTTGATTGGCTTAGTCGGATCCAGACATTCAGGTTCGTGTGAAATATTCCTATCTCATAAAGAAGTCCCACCGACAGGCGTCGCGTGTACCCGGCACGCAGTCAGAGAGATCTTTGTGGCTTCTTTCTGTGCTAAGAGTGGCTGCTTCACGGAGAAGTGAGTGGCCCACTCCTCATCCTGTCAGTCAGTCATCCTGTCATACTAGCTGTTTGTTTCAAATTTGGGAGGGTTTGCACAAAAAGATCTGGAAATCCAGCCTCAAGACCATTCAGCTCATCGAAGAAGAATACCGTTCCAAATCCTTTCGGCCTTTGGTCACACCTCTCCCCAAAAAATCAACTACGCCGCTACGCGTCCATCCGTTCACTGAGTTCATTTGTCAAAGGTATTGGGGTGTTTATTAGTGTTTATATAGCCTATTTGCATCTATTTGCAGTCTTCGAGATCTTCCATAGTGACCAATCGAGCCAGGAAGGGTCCTCATGTTGATTCGCTCTCATGGTCACCCCATCGTTGCTTTGTTGCTGGAAGTTCCCGGGAGGTACCCGGTCGATTCGTCGTTCGGCTCTGTCGGAAGGGGGACTCAAAGCTGGTGGAAAAAAGCACTGGCTGTGATGCAAGTTTCAGCTGGTCGCATGACACATGACATTCTCTTTTTATGCCTGGGCCACCGCGGCCACGCGGCGACCGTTTGAATCAGCAGTTGTGGATCCAGAATCTAGGGTCATGATTAGAATATCCAAGGATATGGCCACGTCCTGACCATCCCAAGGACTTATCGGAAACATTGTATCTACAGTTGGATGTCACTTGTCCAATCAATCAGTTGAACAGAAGTGGACCCTCAAGCTTGCCAAATTAAAATCCACGAAGCCCTTCTCTCCGTTCTGTTGAAAAGTGGCCGCCAGGGTGAGGAAGGCGGTCTTTGAAAACCGCTGTGAGCGGCCAGTGGGGAAGCCTAGGGTTTGTCCTGAAGGTGTTTGGAGGTGCTTGTGTTGTGTGTTTCGCCCGAACTACTTGCTGAGTAATTGGATCTAAGCTGGTTTCAAGTCATTCATCAATGTCAACAATTCATATTCCGAGGCGAGGTTCCAAGGATATGGCCACGTGAATCGGTTTGAATCACCGTCTGATTGTCAGTCGGTCAGTCGTGTTTGGACAGGTGGTCCATTCTTTCAGCAGCTATAGGACAGAAGATGACAGAGAGGGGTTTTATGGTTTTAGCAATCGACTGATTGGCCATTGGATTTGCACATGTTGCTTGGATTCCAGTAATAGTTAGAGTAAGCACCAAGGAACATTGGATATTATTGTTGGGAAGTCTTGGTTGGAGCACTGATAGTTTTGCTAGTCTAGCGATAGCCGGTGATAGCAGTACTGGTTTGTATTATATTGCCTGATGTAAAAGCTAACAACCAAAGTTGGCATGAAGTGTCAAGTGATACTCTGTTTTATCAATCTCGATCAACATTAAGTGAACCGAGAGACGAACGGCGGCTCGCCGTTCTTTTCGCAGGACAGAAGATATGACTTTTAGATGAAGTCACACCAAATCCACAATGTGATCATGTTAAAAATCGGGACATGGCTGGGTAGGTTCCTATCGATTTGAGGCCACACGACCCAACAACCGTCCCCTGCATCCAGTGAGCGGATGCGTACGGCGCGCCTTGGCCCGTGGAGTGCTGAGGTGTACTTGTACGGCTACCAGAACCAATTGGGGAATGGCACCATTGTAAAGATCGATGCTCATGCGACAGAGGACTGGCTTGAAGGGTGCATGAAGGTTTGAAACCTGTCCTCGCTGGCCTTCGCCCACTGTTCACTTGCGTCTCTGGCACATCTTGCGGCAAGGAGTTCACCGAGGAGCGGGGCTTCTTGCCTTGGCGGGAACAGCGCATCACCTTGTCCTACGGGGAGTTCTTCGGGGGTGAGCTGAGGCGACTGAGGGGGGGTGGCGACGGTGACGAGCGGGAGGAGGGGACGGGGAGCTTCGGTGGTTCATCAGTTATTATATGCGCCTCAAGAGGTGAATTCTGAATTGCCATCATAGGAACCATCCCCAGCTCTGCATAGAACCACAACTTGGTTCCAATGAAATGAAAACGTTGATCGATTTTTTTTTGGGGGGGGGGCGACCACCATCGGTGGCCTTGGCGATTGGAGTTTCTAGCTGTTTGCTTTGACTTGGACAAACATGGAATGATCAAACGTATTTTGAGGATCAGGACTTCCGCTACTGGACTTCCCTGCCCTTTGCCATTTGAGAAGCGGACCCTGTTTATCCACTTTTGGAAAATGTTGGAAGCTATATAGTAACGGCTCAGCACATAGAAATTTGATGTTAAATGAGTTTGCAGTTAGAATACCCTTATTTTGAGGTCACGGGGTGAGAAGCCAAAGCAGTTAGAATAAATATGGGCCACTATGACCATATTCTATATGCTGAGCAGTTCAAGTCAAAACCACAATGCCACACACACTCTTTTCTTTGTTGTTCCCATACTCCCGTGTATATATCCGCAGCGGGCAGTCATAATTATATATTCTATTTGCAAACGTCTATCTGAATCTGCAGCACAGTTAGAATAAATATGAATACATGCTCCCCGGGACTTTCCAGTGAATTATTTGGAATTAAACATTAATGACTCAATAAGTACTAGGCCATAACTATACATTGTGCAGGAATGACACTCCAAGATCCCCAGAAATTCCCTCTAGAAGAAGAAGAAGAAGCTGATGTTGGACTAGAGGGGCTGTGCTGGGCCCAAGTAAGAACCTGACTTCATAGTATAGCAGCATTTGGGGTCTGATCCACTGTTGCTATACCCTGATTCTATTGGCAGTCCTTGGGTCAAAGCTGCGGGACCTTGGTTGACTTCTAAAAATGCACAAGATGGACTACTAGGGATGTCAACATACCATTCTTTGGGATTCCTTGTTTTTGACCCACACTTGTGGATTGATGCTGAACAACTCTATGACTCACCATTCCACCGAGGCCGACCAACCTTGATGCTGCCGTCATCGAACTCAACGCGGACTATGAGAGCTGGGTGGTTCCCAAAAGCCGCCTGGACCGGTCTCCGGGGCTGGACCAGCCAGTGCAGGATCTGGCTGGCTGATGGTCACCATCTCGAAATCCTTGGGCTTCATATAAATGGTCACCATCGGTTCCCCAAAGTACTGACTGGTTCCAGTCGGACCATGTGATGAATGAAGGGCTGACCCAGTCATCCTCCTTGAATTCTTTGGGATGAAAACACAGTACACCCGGAGAGAATTTGTAGCTCCCATGTGGCCCCCAATGTTGTCAGGCTCGGTCTTGGCTGTTTCTCCGTGACTGGGACGCGTGACAGGGGGATGACTTGCCATTTGAGCCTTTCTTCGCTGAGGTCATATGAGTTTCCTTGGACAGTTAGGCTTCAGCAGCCTCAACTTAGAGCTGGCCCTGTGGAAGGATCGATACTTGGCTTAGGCTCGGACGGGTGATGGTCGAGTTGGGTCCCAATTAGTTTTGGTACCTGTTAAATACCTGGGTAGCGCATTTCTTGGACTTGTGCTGATCATGCTGGCGAAGTTTACAGTTTCTCTCTAGACCGAAGTTTCTGGACATCCCCTGAATCGAGAAGGGAAGTTTGAAGTATTTATGAAGATGGAGTTTCCATTCACTTGGTTGAAGATGTTGAAGCAAATGGAACTTGGCATCCGGTGGGCCCAAGAACCCGACTGAAACAGCTTGGCGCTCGGCGAGTCCACCGACTAAGCCCACCATTTGTCCTTTGAGCGCCAGAGGAGCACGTGTTGCAATCCCCTCCTGGTCACATGTTTCCTATAGAGGGAGTGTCTCCTTCAGGGGCATCTTCAACACTTCCAACTTCAAGCGCTCTTGGGAGCGTACCGCCTGCCCTGCAATCAGGAATAGCGAGCACATGCGAGCACATATTACACAACTTGGTTGATCTGTACTCGTCGATGTGATAGGAGCCCGAATGTAAGTACCACCAAGAGAATGTTAACACCACTGTTGCTTCCATTTATATGTACTGTATATATGTATATATATATATACATGTGAGCTGAGATGTTCTGAGGATTGTCGGTCGAAGCTCTAGGTGTTGAAGGAAACAAACAGCTGAAAGGCGTTCATTGATGTTCATTGTATGGACAAAGAAATCTGTAAAGCTTCAAACAGAATAAGTTGAATAAGGTTCAAGTTCAAGCTGTCTTCATCGGCCAGTAGCAAAGGACGCAACGGCACTGGTGGTTAGTTTGGTTGCCAGCACCAAGGAATCAACGGTTCTTTGGCAGTAGAGACGCCAGCAAACCCAGCCTGCTTTTCAAGGGCGACGCTAGGCTCTGGGTACGTCACGCGTGGGTGGGTCGAGCAGATCGACAATAGAGACGTGGTGGGTCGAGTCCAAATGGAAGACATGGTGCGCTTGACAGTGAGGGAGGAGCAAAGGATCTGCTGATTCTGATACCATCTTTAAACACTCCGAGTGGTTCACTAGTGTGTCGTAACACTCACTAAGTGTCTCAGTCTTCCCGAGTCTTTCAATATAATATATACCAGTTAACCCAACAGAGCCCGAAGAGAACCCTTAAAAACAAACAAATTGTTGCCTATTGATGCTTTGTCAAAAATAAAGTGACAATTTGCTGGGATGGTTTGGTTAGGAGATGTTGCTTGCACCAACCAATTTTCGGGATTTGGTCAGGATGTGGTGCTCTTGGAATACTGCCTCAAGTCTTCTTTCTCCGGAGGCATTTGCCGCCAGCTGTTTGAGGCGGAGGAGATCCACATTTGACGGTATACGGTGTTCGATTGGCCTGGTTTGTGCTGTTCACATGGAACTCATCAAGTGATGCCGTGGGAGTTCATCAACTGAGACTGAGAAATTTGGGTGCCCTGGACCACTTTAAGCAGGAACAGGGATAGTAAGACCATGTAAGACCTATTCCTTGGTCCATTGACTTGGCCTGTCTTGTGGAGTTGTGACCTCAGGAAAACCGCCTTCAACATCTCCGAGTGCAACTTCACAGACGGCAGCGCCAAGGACAGCTGCGTACAGCGCAGCGGCTGGGGCTCGTGGGTTCCGAACCGCCAGCAAACGGGTAGATCAAAGACGAATTCATTCATGGCAACTACGCAGATTTAGGGTGGTACTCAGAAGACGATGCAATATGAACCTGAAAGATGCTTTGGCGCTGAGAGTTCCTCCCATCTCTCCAAAGTCACTGGCAGATGACCCCGGGTTAACCCCCAAGAATGAGGCACATGCAGACCTAGCTTCAAAACCGCCAACACAGAAGCGCATAGGCCCCTCCTTGACACCTCTACATGGCTTTGTGTTTGTTCGATGTTTTTCTTCAACAGAGTCCTGGAGGTTCGTCCCTTGGTCCGTAACCACAGGGTCTTGCACAATTGCTCGCTCACGTTTGCACTGCCGGCACTGAGCACAGGTGCTGGAGAGGACCTGGGGTGAGCTTTGCATGCCAGTTTGTCCTGAGACCAACGAGGTGGGCTTGAGTCGCCCAGGTTTGTCTGAAATGGCTGGCTGTTTTGGAAGGCTTTAGTTGTGATAGGGTGTACATACTGTGTGTATATAATGTATAGCTACAATAGATAGAGATAGAGATACAGAAGTAAACGGTGCTTTGGTCAAGCTTGCTTTAGCTCAATAGCTTTCCTGAAACATAGAGTTGTCCGGGTCACCTCAGGAGGCTTTGAAAGATTGACAGATGCTGGCAATATCGGATCGTATTTCGGGAGCAGTGCTTAGTTTGAATGCGTTCGCGGACGCCTGAACTTCACTGTTCCCGCTTCCAACTTTGGGGCAACCCGTAGTAGAGTAGAGGTATACGTTTATATATAATTGTCACAGAGATTGAGAGTTTGCACAAACCCAAAAATGAAGCCTCCTCCTGATTCGAATGTTTTCTCTTCAGGGTTTTGAGGTTGTAAAGTGGATTGACTTGCAACGAAGCCAAAACGGTGCCAAGGCACACGAGAAAGTGCTCTGCCCCGAGCAAGGGAATAGAATCGATTGTGCCGGGCACTCTTGAATGATGACATGGTGCTGTGCTATTGAAAGTTGCAGTGGCAATCCAACTGACCTATTGCCTATTGAACAAACAGGGCATAGTAGCCTGACCGGTGCCAACCCTTAGAAGACGAAGCTGGAAGCCCAACAATGAAGCTTCAGTAGATAATACTTTGGAACGTTCATATCTAGTTGCTCATGTGGATCCCCACTCTTGATGGAAGAAATCCTTTGAGGGTACTATTTCATCAGTGCGTTTTGTTTGGCTGCGAATCGCGGCTCGGTTTGTCAGGCTAGCGAAGCGCCTTGTGAGACGAGTTGTTTTGTAGAGCCGGGCGTGCCGCTGAAGTATCCTGAGCCACACGGTTGCTGTTGAGCCGGGTGGTGAGTTTTTGTTGGTTTATGTTTTTTGTTTTTTTCCGGAAGGGCTGGATGATTTGGATGCTGGGGTCCTATATAGTTTGTGGATTATGTTCAAAATTCGTAATACCCTTGCTGTAGATTCGATCTATAGTTTTTGTTTGTTCATAGGTTAAAAGATGGAGAGTGTTGAGTCCACATTGCGCGGTCTCAAGATCCTCATGGGTTTGTTGGGCCCGTCGGTGTTGGAAACCCGTTGCTGATCTTTGCTTAGAACATCTTGAAAAGACAAGACATCTCCGGTGGATATCTCAGACTGATATCCATCTGTGGAATTCTGAAAATATTATCCACTTGGCGTTTCTTCACGTTGTTTGAATGCCGCAGTTGGGGATGGCCCTGCCGAGGAGGTCGCTTGTGGGAAGATCGGAAACATGTTGAGGAAGATCCTCGCAGAGGAGATAGAAAGAAGTCATGTCGTGCCAGAATGGGTTTCTCTTGAACAGACTACTGTTGAATACTTTTGGTGCTTTCGTGTGGTATCTATGTCACCCTCAAAATCTCCATGCAGTTCTTGGAACTCCAAGGGTGCCCCGAGATGCGAGGTATATCTCGCATCGTTCCTTGGCCTGGAAGCAGGGCCAATGGATGCCCAGTCCCGCCACGGTGGACCAATTCTTGAGGCGACATGAGCGAAAGGACACGGATGGGGCGGAGGGCGGCGGCGATGGGGATGCTGCATGGTTATGTGGTGATTTCATCCAACTCCAAGTCCTTATATTTATATGAATATCCAATATGTTGACACCCGTATTGCACCTGCACAGGAACCAAATTGGAAATTTCGATCCAAATGCCACCAGAGTAGCTGAATGAAGTAGAGCAACATAAATATTCTCCCTCCGGAAGGTCCGGAAGTAGTCTTGACATGGAACAATCGAGCCTTTTGCCATCCATTTGTAGATACAATTGAGCTCATTGTTTTGCACTCCCAGCCCCTCTCGGTGTCGTTTGAAACTCACCCACCATGGCCTCGCTGCTCCAAACACCGACCACTTTTCCATGTTGTCCCGGACCTGTGCCGAGTTTTAGCCGAGCACCGTGTGTGCCAGGGAAGGTGGTCAGCAATGGTCGGCAACCTTTGAGTGCTGGGATTTTCAGACCGGTGCCTGGGCAGACAGATCAGGGCGATCAGAAAGATGGGGATGGAGATGGGTGGGGAGTTCGTTGACCAACAAAGCACCCGGTATGAATACGGAATGTGCGTCCTTGCAGGTTTGAATCAGACTTGCAAGTCAGTTTGTGTGTGGGATTTATTCGACAAAATGACCAGCAAATCAGCATGTGGAATGATTCTGAAGGAGTCTTGGCACATGCTGTGTTCCTTGCTGTTTGAGCTTAAAGTATGTTAAACTCCTTGGAGAGACAGTTGTTTATTCAACTACACCCCGTTCAGCAGGAAGCTTAGCTTGTGCCCACAGCAGGGCAATGGCATGCAATGGCAAAACTATTTGTGTAAAGTAGGTGTGATTCACCAAAAATCATATGTGTTGGAAATACATAGAATCATATAGAATCATTTAGATCAGTGGCCTGGCCCATTGGCCATGCTCCTCGCAGCCCCCCACCGCGATGCCAGGCCCTGAAGGTTTCCCCATTTGCGATGGCTTCGATCCCAAGTCCTTGCCCGATGAGCTGGGCGTGTGGCAGGCAGCGCCAAGGAGGAGGAGAGGATTGAGTCGCGTAGTGTCCAAGTCCGAGTGTTTGAGCTTGAGAAATGAGACATCATGGACGCTACTAGGGGCTCCTGGCCGTACTACTAGGAACAAGAAGCTACTAGGCGCTCCTGGCCTTACTACTAGGAGCAAGGACGCTACTAGGGCTTTTGGCCGTACATGAGAAAAGGTGGTTGTGTTTAGAACTTTCATTTGGGGTGTTGAGCTTCATGGTTTAAGGTAGTCCAGCCAGCTAAGGAATGGATGGTCCCGGTGTTTGTGTTTGGGGTTCCCAACTTCTTTGTTGTTTGTTTGGTGTTCTTAAAAGTAGTTATTCAATATTCAAGACAACTGGAGTCTAGTGAGTTTAGTTTACATCCTTGTGTATGATGATATGGGGAAGCTTGGTGTTGGTTTTACAGCTTCCTGCGAGCTGGCCGAATCCAGAAGGTGTTCATCACTGTTTAAAGCCTATGCCATGAATAGTTCCACTGTTTTGCCGGCGTTGTTTACTGCCTTCAAATCACCTCGATTAGACTGTACATGGGGTAAAGCTTTTGATTGAGTTGAGGAATGAGGGCAGCATGGGAAATCCTTCGACTTCTCAGAAAAGGTTGAATATCTGACTCACTGTTCACATTTTGTTTGTTACTGTAACTGTGTTGTTTGTAAGGTCTCCTGCCTGTTTGAGAGATTTTGAGAGGTTGAGTTGAATCTTGCTAATGGCCCATTGCTGGATGTCCAGTCATGTTGGCCAGTGCTCGGGAAGTACCAGGTGGATGGGTAATATGTGACAGAACCCTTTTGCATATAATATCATATATGGTTGGATGTTGGACCATTCAAGTCCGTTCTCCCGAACTACCACCTGGTCATCTAAATCAACGCCTTCCATACTTCCTGGATCAACTCCCCCATGGCTCACACCATCCGCCTAGACCATCGGGTGAGTTCTCTTGGGCGTCAGAAACCCCAAAAAACTGTTAGGTGGTGAGCTGCCCCGATGGTGAAGAGATCATCGTGCCACCTTTGCCCAACTGGGAGCTGGGGCGCTGGGATGACTCCTGGGCCTGTGGACCAAACGAAACGCGGGGCTGGTGGACGAACGTTGGAGACGGAGACATGTATGATATACTAGCTTCTTGTTACTACTAGTAAGGCACTTCTTACTACTAGCGATGCCCTTTGTTGCTACTAGCTTCTTGTTACTATATGCTGTTTGGATGGTGAGCTCCGGTCCTGGTGCGTGTCTAGGACTGTAGATGCTAGATCCAATCTAGTGCCGTCTAGGACTGTGATCCACTAGGACTCCAATGAATGGACTCTAATTATGAAGATGAAGAAACTGTAGATAGGACCGCCGGGTCGCGGTCACCACGGTTTCCTCCCCTTGCAAGATCCATTTGTGCTCACCGGGCATTTTGGGGAGCCAACATGATCATGTTCCCTTTCTAAAAGAGGTCTTTAGGACTTTCGGGCAATCATGACTGCTCCCAGCCGTGAAGGGTTGACATGGAGGATACAACAACAATGACTCATGACTCACTACATTGAAGGTTAGTCACGGCTAGTACTTACATGTATTTACCTACTTCTCATCTCAAAACTTCTCCAACACAGTGCCTGGTACAACAACGCCATTCGTCATCCCCACGCAAGGACGAAGCGCGAATCAACACGACACGCGCTCGCGAAAGCACCGAGGAAACTTCCTGTGAGAACTTGAGCGCTCCAACTGCACCGCATGTGTTGGACAGAGCGAAGCGCTGGACGTGTGTTTTTGGGGGGGCGATCCGTGTAGGAATGGACCCTCCCAGCAGGGGATAGGACAAACATCAATTAACAGTGGTGCCCTTTTTTGTGCACCTCGGTGTTCAATGTCTTTAGAAATAAACATGGATCCATGCAAGCCCCTGGTGAAGGAGGGATTTGGGAAAGGAGAAGCACAGGCACAATCCTCATGGAATATGAAATGTGCTGCTAAGGTATTATGTAGTCTAGACACGGTCACAAATGTGGATCTAAAGCACATTAGATATCCAAAGCCCGAAGTAACACCGGTTAGAAGGAAGACCAAAGGCCTGGATCAACTCGGTCATTTGCGAATTGTTGTTGTTTGCAGCAAGGATGGGAGCCAATGTCCCTCGCACATGTTGTATCATGTTCTTTGCTGTGGGGGGTGTTTGACGGAAGGTATGTTTTGTTCTGGCAACATGCAAGAAAGACATGTTATCAAGTTATCATATAGTCTAAGTGAATTCAAGGGCCGTGATCGATTAGAGTTGAAGAAACAACCCTGCTTGGAAAGCCCTCAAACAAGTGTGTTGCACGAAAAGCAACTGAGCCGTGATAACGTCCACCAACAAGCCGTGCACTAAGCACCTTTTGAGGCAAGCCGAGCCCCAAAAAGTATATCAAAAAGTGTTGTAAGTTGCATCAAAAGGAGTGTGGAGCGATTCTCACTCATGCCCACCAGCCTGGCCCAAGGTGATACTTGTATGAAAGACTTGAAATGGGCTATGCAGATGCTGGGCTTTGTGAGTTGGGCTATGTACGGAGACAGATGGGGCTTGGGAGATCTGAAGCGGATCCTAAAAGGGTAGATCCCTTGTCAGAGAATACTCACACTGAGGAACTCACTCAATGTCACTCACTGAAGTAACAACCGTGGTGAATTCCAGCCACGTTGGTTTGGTAGCATCAGCCGCGTCAGCCACGCAAAGGCATGGGATTGAACACGACTCCTGTGCAACCCTTTTTGTCAGCTGGGCAGGGTAGCTGCTGTCCTGGGCAGCTGCTGTCGTTTCCGGATCTTGCAGGTTTAGTCTTTCTGCTGAAGAGCTCACCTTCCATTCCCCAATCATGATATGTTTCACTTGGACACGGGCTCTTTTCCAGTTGGCCACTTGGAGGTGCGAGTTCAACATGAAGTCACCCCTGACTTGGGTGTTGCCATCCATTGCTCCATTGCTTTGCTTGGAGTAGCAAGCACCTCTTCCCTCCCTCCCTTTTGTGGGTGCTCCTTCAAACACCGATTGATTTCTTGGACTCACGATCTTTGGTGGTGCTCGGGGTGCCATGACTGAAGTTAAAGCACCTCAAAGCACGAGCATCGTGCCCGTGTATTTTGCTGCCCTGTCCCATGTGTTGTTGCAATCTGAGGGTCGGGATTTTTCAAGAACCTAGATGGTATCCTGGTCTTACCTACAAATCCAGCGCGGCCTCTTGGCAGCAAACAGCATGTGTGCGACACATGACTGACTGTCCAGCCTGCCGTGATGCGGTCGGGATAGTCCAAGGAGTGATCTCCCGGGTGTGACAACGGTTCCCTCGGGAATTCGCTTCTCACTCTTGCGGTGCCCACCCCCGGTCACCCCGCTGGTCCTGGTTTGCGGTCTGGGCAGACTGGGTGATTGACCCAGTTCCTCGGACTCGGAGGCAGTCCCAAAAGTTTAAAGCCAGGAATGGTGGAGGATTCTCACCCTACCCATTCTTCTCCCCCCCCAAAAAAAAATGCGTGGAGTCGTTTGCTTCGTCGACGTGTCAGACCGTTTGACGCGTCTTGTTTGCGTTTTCAGATTCTCTCCTCTGTTTTGTTTTGAATTTTGACGTCTTCTCAGCGGCCGCGGACCGCGATCTTCTGCGGCCGAGGATGAGTTCCAGGCCTTGCTACACGAGATCCTGGGCAGCTGCCCACCACCCTGCCGCTCGGAGGGAGAGCCGGCCTCAACGGCTCTCCGCGAAAGCAAGAGCCGTTTCTTTAGGACGTCGCGGAGTTGGGATGCATGGGGAGGTTGGTGCGTTTGGGTTGGGAACCTAAGGTGAAACCACTTACTGTAAGAATGATCAATGACTTTGGCACCAAGATAATTTGTGTTAGCAAAACTCCAGAGGCACAAGACCTAGGCAGTCTCTGGCCTCTGGGTGAAATGCGCGATCGGTCACCACTGGTGACCTACGATCGTGGCACCGCATCGCACAGGCCATCTTCTTGACAAGAACTCACAACATGCTGAACAGGACTTGAAGTGCTTGTGATTCTTGTGCTAAGGCTTTGCTCCTTGAGATTAAAGCCAACCCTCCCAATATACAGACTAGTCTCCCTCCGCGAAGATTTCCCCTCAAGATCCATTCAGCTTCTGTGCTTGCCCGATGAGTGGGAAGTTGGAAGTCCTCTTGCGTTTATATACGCGTGAAGGCTGGTTGGGCATCATCCCACTTAGATGAGTACGGGTTGCCCCCTTGAACCGGAGTTGATCTCTCGTACCAGGCTCCTTGCCAACCCCAGGGCGGGATCAATGGACCAGCCAAACTGCTCCACTGCAGGCAACGATGAGCCCCACTTTCAAGCTGTCGATGGCGCTATCGACCGGGTGTGCCGTGGTGTGACATCCAGCGACAACTCCAACAGCTACTTCACGGTGTCATGGCCAGGTTTCAATGATTGTGTTTGGTCACCTACAAATGTTATCAAATGTTGCTGCAAGACTGTGCTCTAGAGAACCACTGGCACCCTTTAATTAAAGGGGATCGGTGGGGATCACATGACTCAATGACTCAATGTTTTCTTGGGGTCACTGAGTGAGGCAGGGGAGAGAAGTTGAAAGTACGTGGGCTGTACGTGGGCTGTTTTCTTTTTTTCAGCTCTCCGGTGATCGCGTGACCGTCAGGTCCGCGTCGCGAACTCGACTGAGCAGTGCAAGCAGCTTTGTCGGGACTATCCCGGTTGTAAAGGCCCCGAACCGCTCGTATGGGTTGATGTGGATTGGGGGCCAGAGGGTTGTTGAGACCCATTGGAATGGGATGTAAATGTATATAGTTAGGGTCTGTCCGATTACCTGTGTCAGTCAGTAAACAATTATCATTTTTGCACAAGGCCTTTACTAACCATCAACATCCACTTAGACCCTTATTAATATAGTATAGTAATAGTAATAGGATGTAATAGGTAATACTGTAGTTAACTCCTTCGAAGGCTGGTGTGATGGGAGGAGAGGTGCGGAGAATTGGGTCAATCATTGAAGACTAGAGTGAGACCACGTCCACGAGAGCAGGCTTCCCTTTTGACTATTTGGGTGTCTACAGAGGCATCCGTCTATAAGCTCTAACCCCTATGAAGCGACGAAGCACCGCACAGGCGAACGTTTACTAAGCCATTTCCTCTCCTACGCTCCATACAGGTCCATGTCTCAAAGTCTCTTGGCTAGGGTCCTTCCAAAGTCATCATCTCCCACACAACGGGTAGAAACTCCTCCAACAAAATACATCAAGCTTCGCATTTGCCGGAACAGCCAATTTCGTGAGATCACCTTCACCACAATCCTTGCCAGATTGAAGACAAATTGAATACAGTTTAAATCATATCAATAGTATATCAATACTTATATTATCTTATATTATATTTGAACTTAAACCCTTCCAGCTTCCAACCTCACCACCCATCCTCCCATCATCTTCCATCCTCCAACCACCTCCCTCACTACTCCAACCTCCACACCACCACGCCTCTCCGCAGGGATCGAGTTCGCGCGGATCTCCGGGCGCTGCGAGATCTGGCTCCGCGAGGGCGGCATCGGAGCCAGTGCCTTGGGCGCAGCAGTCCACCACCGGGGGAAGCGGCTTCTGTCCCAAACGAGCCATGGCATGCGCGGTGTCGGTGGTTTCTAATTGGTTTGCTTGGTTTCCTTCCCCGAATATTTTTTGGATCCTGCAGACAGATGCGACGCAACATCTATGATTCACAGCATGCGCATATCCCTGGCCCCACGGAACAGCACATCCCACAACGCACGAAAAGCAAACAACGTCTCCGTCTCACAGCGGCGGCAGAGCCCGCCAAATTCAACATGTAGTATAACATCACTATACAGGTACATGTATCAAGGCCGCGTTCTTTTTGCAGAGGCCCCCCGTTAGCACCGGTGGAGATGAACAGAGCCCAAGAGCAGGAAAGACCTGCGGAAATGGCAATGGATCTCTGGAACCTCAACTCGAACCCTGTGAGTCAAGGGTTTGGGTGAGTAGGGTATGCCTTTGGGGCTGCATGGAATTCTTAAGAAATGCTTGGGTAGTTGCTTGGGTGTATAGAGGGACTCTGTATTCCAAAGCATACCCATTGCTTCAATCAGTGAACATTGCAGCATCCCCAGACGAACGTGAACTCGCCCAACATCCGCCAAAAATCACACCGATTCCTGGGTGGTGCATCTACTGGAGCATTGTGGGTGTGCTGAAAAATCTCAAAGGTTTGAGCCCCCCCAGTGTCCACCACTTTGAAGTGAGGTAACGCGGCCGAGAACTTCGAGTGTTGGCGCTACGTGGACCCTGGCGCTGGCAGCTCTGCTCCGAGGCTCCACTGCAACGCGCGGACACCGACCGGTCGGTCTATCTCCGAGGGTCCGGGCACCAGGGTCCTGGCTCAACATGCACCGGTTTTTTTTGGAATGGTCACAGGAACAACGTGGACCAACCAGAGTCCCTGGTAGAAGTTATCTTTATTAGGCTCACGGCTCATGTGTTTGGACCTTGTTGGCTCATGTAAAACTTGGCCCTTGCTGTTAATGTACCTTTCACGTAGGTGTTCTGGACCAGAAAAGAACTCGTCAGAGCAGTAGGGGCATCGACCGTTGTGGGGCTTGTTGCTTTGGTGGAAAGCTGGAATGACCAGAGTGACCAGAGTCAGACTTTAGCATGTGTGTTCCAATTGTTGTGCAAACTCACAGCAATGTTCTTCGTGGTAATGCAAAACTGATGTTGCTGCAATGGCATCCTAAAGATTGTGGGTTTCTTGTCCGGGCAATGTTTTCCTTATCCCCAACATTTCCACACGTATCCATATGGGGCGGTGGCCTTTGGCTTGAGGGAACCCCAATGAGAAATCTTAAGTTTGCAGTAACTAAAAGACACTCTCCCCTTCTATACTACATCGCCACCAATGCCACGCTGCCACGGAAACGTCTCGTATCCCACCAAAGCTGAGGAACGTGACGACCACGCTGATGCCGCATCAGCTGATGTACTTTGAAGGCCTCAACGGGGTGGCACAGGACCGCGTCTGCCGTGGTGCCAACATTTACGACAACAAGCGCTGCTTGGAGTCGAAGTCGTCAGAGGTCAGAGGAGGGTGCAGAGATGTGTGTGTGTGTGTGATGAATGGTGCGCTGGGCATGGATATGGATGCTGAAGAAGGAGGTGACTGTGACGTGTGTGAAGTAAGCCCAGCAGCAGAAGAAACGCAAGTTGCAGCCTCTGTTTGATGGGTTATTTCAGTGAGCCGATTTGCCCATCAGGTCGATGTTGCGTTGGGTCCATCAGGTCCCATCAGTCCCATTCCCATTCACTCGGTCTCGGTCTCGCGTTGCGAGCGGTCGCTTCTCAGGTGTGTTGATTCGCTGAAAGAACATACTCATCCATGTCCATTTGCCAGCTGGGTGTGTGGGAAATCTGCCCAGTGGCCCATTCGCACAAATATGCCTCATTCTCCACCCGAATGAGGAAGAGTCCCACATGATCCAATACAGTGGTCTCTTCCAGAGCAGGAAACGTCAGACGTTTTAATTTGATGAGTCGAGGTTCCTACTTTGAGCTCTACTGGACTTCCACCTTGGAGGGCTGCAAGAGCGAATGCGTCGAAGTGCCCGGCTGCAAAGGCGCGCGCCATGCGGCCATGCGGCCGCGCTTTCGCCATGTCCACCACCGGGCCGAAAAGTGCCCCAAGCTTCGGGCGTTTTGGAAGAAGAGAGATAACCTTTGAAGACACCCAAAGCCGGGATCAGTGTCACTTTCGGAGTTGTTTGCTTAAGGTTAATCTGCTTGAGAAGCTCCTCAAGAAGATCTGTCCAACTCCAGATGTCTTCATCCAGACCCTTAGTGCATTGATTTCCCAACTCCACCACACCTCTCTCCTTCCTGGCTCCACCATCCTCCACCCTTCAATAACTTTCAGCCGTCGCAGGGGTCGAGTACGCGGCATCCATCGGCCGCTGCGAAGTGTGGATCCGCCCCGAGGGGATCCAGGCGGTCAAGGTGTCGTCCCTCGCCGACGCGGAGGGGGGAAGACGAGGAGACAGGAGACATCGATCGGTGAGAAGGTCGCTGGAAAGAAAAACAACGTGAAGGTTTGGGGGCTTGGAGCCACGTCCAATTTCTTGTTTTGGTGTTTTTTGGGCGGATTCTTGTCGCATGATTGGTAGTTATATGTATATTTATTATAAAATACTATAATATATATATATATATTAGTTTAAGTCGTTGCGCTGTGGCATTATGG